GGTATCGTTTATTGTTTTTTTTTTTTTTTTGAAAATTTTATAAGCCTCTACAACCACGTCACGTCGATTTTTCATCCACTCTTTGACGGATATAAATTTATAGTTCAGATAACCGTTGTGGTATTAACTAGCGAGTTGCGTGATATGGCTACCAATTGGTATTATTATATAACTGGATCCACGGTAAATATCCCTGACAGTTGACTAATGTCACGTCCAGTCGATACCGAAGGCGCTTTATTTGTCGCCACCGACTATACGCGCTATTGTTCCGTGTTGTTATTACTAAATTTTAAGTCACGTCCTTTCGACTAATCACGCTCGATAAGCATGGCTGGTACGGTGTGTACGTACCTTAAAACGTGTACCACGGTACCGAGGCATCGGTCTGAATGACGTTTAATGCATAATTATATTAATTCGTCAAAGATCGTATTCGTGGAATATTTATTTACGCGCATGCGCATAGAAGCTTTAAGTAGCGAACGACTAAAGTCCCGTAAAAATGTGAATTTTTATAATTCCCTTAATTTTATTCAATCACATCGCCGGGAATTAATGTTTGCTCTGTTTACTTTCATAGATATGCAATCCTGCTTCGATAGGGTCGTTCGATGTTTATCGTAGTTTCGAGTTTCGATCTATCGCGCCGTGGTGTCAGCGACTCGGTCATTTCTCTGTATGCTGTTTCGTTATTGGTCGTCGGTGAGGTTAGGTTGTTTAATTTGAATTTCTTTTTTTTTTTTTCGTTCCCGCCTTTCTACACGTGATTATTATCCCGTCGTGTACATACCAGTCGAATAAACAAGCCAGACGGACTAAGAAGTTCTACAATCGACGTTAATCCTTAGCTAATATCACACTTGCCGTTCAACGCCTCCGACGGAGGAATTCCGAAACCTTAAAAAGTATAATTTTACACAATAACGGATGCGTTCTCCCTCTATACTCTGACAATTCTGGGGCTTCGTGCTTCGAGGCTTAACGCCCAGGAAAGATAAAAGGTATAGCACGAACCTCTTTCTCGCGTGCAACGAAACGAATTCGAAGTGAAAATTTTTTTTAAGGGGGAATTTGAAAAAAAAATTTTTTTAATCTTCTTTTCAAACCCTCACGGCGCAACGTGCGATAAACGATTTTTTTTGTCTTTCAGCGCGTCTCGAAATTATTTTCAAAATTTACGTTACGCATGCACCGCTTGGGACGGATTACGCGTCGGTGAGTGTCGAATGAAGCTGAGCAGGATTCTTTCGCTTTTCTTTTTTTTTTTCGAAGGCTTTCAGACAGAAAAACACAAACAAATCTTCAGTCGGCCTGGAAGGTACTGGGAACCCCCGCGCCTCTTCACGGCTCCAGGGCTCTTCAACCACTCCGTCACCTTCTGCATCATCTTTAAACTCACTCAAGCTGCCGTGGACCATCGAGATGCGTTATTGCGCACTCCAAACGTTTTGCCACTCGAAATCCTCCCGAAAGACAACGAATGAAATCTGAGAAAATTTACCAGTTGCGCTGGTAACGAGGAATTTTTTTTTTTGGTTTTTCATCGTCTGCTTCGTCTCCACGTTACTTTATTGTTGTCGTCCCGGCGCTACGAGCTTTTCTTACGAAACCTAACCTGAAATTTGAGAGGGCAGCGCACGCACGTGGACACTGTCTCAGAAGATGCAACATTAACGCGTAAGCCGTAAAGCGTGCATTTCGAGGTAGCTTATTATTTTTGAAAATATTTTTAATAATTATTTATATAGTTTGCAGGTTGGGATAATTTTTCGAAAATTTCACAAATATCAATTACCGATTCGAGCGATGCGTTACTGTTTTCTACGTTTGGTGAAACCAGTACGCGGTTTTCTGGAATTTTGATTTTTCAAAATTATCCCGATAAAATCTTGCTCTCGCGCGACTTCCGATCAAATACCACGTTAAGTGCTCGATGATCTGTTTTGACTTCGGACTGGTCATTATTCGTAATTCTCTCATCTATACTCCCCCTTTCACCCTCCGACACTCCGCGCCATCGACAAATAAAAGTGACGGCATCGCGTGACGAGTCGCGTTAAAGAATTCTCACTGATTACAATTCACCGGGGTACCGTGTTATTAGCGATTTATTATCGGGTATTTAGATGTCAGATTAGCAGAAGGTTCAAATTTGTGTTTTAAGGGTTTTGCAATTATTTATATGATACCGCGTCGAATAAGGACTCGAAGGATTATACGTTTTATAGGATTGTCGGAAAAATTTTTTTTTTCTTTTTTTTTTTTTCCCAAATAAAACTCGTAACCCTTACGGTACAAAAATTGTATTCATTCAGGCAAACGCTTCTTGCACGCTCTGGATGATAAATGTACCACGTGCGCGTATGGGGTCTTCAATTTTTCACGTGTCTGCTTTACGTCAGAATTTAATCTCATCGCTGCCATGTATTCTCGGTGTTGGAAAACGAGACACCCTGTATAGCCGATGGTTGGGCTAGGTTTACCGTCTTTCGATTTCAAGTGCCCTGATAAAAGGATCATTTCCGTTAAATGCACTCACGCAACCCGAGCTGCGCTCGTTGAGTCGATAAACAAACATTTCGCTGTCGCAGGGACGTGGTCCAAACTAAATTGAGATTTAGGATTGTTTGGAAATCGTAAAGGCAGATCATCGCCAGTTTGGGGGAGTCCCCGCGGATGCTGCGTGGAAACGCTGGGCATCTGCGATAATTTTATATCGTTTATCGGATCGAAAGTTGGTGGATGATAAGGAAAAAATTATGACAGTCGTCGCGAATATTGTGAATTGAAAATTTTTTATTTTTTTTTCCAAAAAAAAAAAAAATTCCTCCGAATTTTAAACGCACGTGTGATAGATAAATGATAAACGTACTTCGACAATGCATTTTCATATTTGTCACGAGAAATCGTACGAAAGAATTTTCACGCGAGGAAAGCTCTACAGAAATGGATTTGAAAACGACCCTCTCTTTTTTTACGCTGTTTTCATACATTCGCAGACCCGTGACATCGCGACTGACTGAACGACGAAAAAGATGCGAAAATTTCGTCCTTTACGAGGCTCTTCGCATAAAGGATCCTCGCGGTTGTAATATGGGCTACGTACTTATTGCCTCTTTCGTAACGTACGAAACTTCTTGACAATTGAAAACATGCCGGGACAGAGCTGCGAGTATTCGTCGCACGTACGAATTAGTATAAGCGGGTTTAAGCTTTGTACCGTAGGAATTATATAAAACGAGGTAATCTCGGCTCGATCGTGAGTTAAAAAGCGCGGATAAAAAAAAGTTGCTATACCGATAAAGAAGAAGATTATCCAAAAACTTGGCACTTTATTCTCGCGAAAATTCGAAAATTAATATTTTCCGAGAAATTGTCTTTTTTTTTAAATATGAAAAAAAATACTTGGACATTGACTGTGATACTCGATGTATCTATGGGCGTTATTTAAAAATGATTAAAAATTGAATCCAAATTTTTTTTTTCAACACATTTTTTTTTTACGAGACAATACCACCAGCCTACCAGATATAAAAACGTGAAATTTATCGCAAATTTATCCTCACAAAATTTACTAAATCGTACCACGCGTGTAAATCTTATGGACAGTGGGACGCACTGTGAGAATCATTGACGTTTCGAGGCCGATGTTATGATGACGAGAGCTGCAGATGGGGACAGTTGCACAAACATATGATTATTCCCTCTTGGCCACCTATGTATTCGTACGGGCGTATATCTATGTTTATAGACATACATAAGAGGGCACCGATAAATTCTAGTATCACTGTTTATGCGTGAGATTGGATAGGGAGGATTGAAGCGAATCGGTCGAACGACATCGTCCTGGATAGCTCATTCGATAATTCATACAAACAGATCTGAAGAGGGTCCATGATTGAA